ACTACAAATAGTTCAAATGAGTACATAAATTTTAAAAATTTAGAAACAAAAACGACCATGGTCTCATACTATTTACAATTATTTACATTACGTACTATGGCCCCAGTAATGAACTAACCTGTCGTAATGAACGACTTTAGGTTTAGAGTTCAAAGACTTACGGATCCGAACCACGACGTCATTCAGTCTGTTCAGCACTGTATATGAACCATCCGAAGGTGACTGTAATTTAGGATTGAGTCCTTTTCGTTGAATCGGGTTCAACAACCACGCCTTGTCTCCTTTGTTGGATCTATGTCTAGTAGCTCTCATGTCGTATCTGGTCTTCACTTTCTCCATCGCCAAGTTGACTCACTTCCGTGCAGAACGGTGCATCCCCTCAAACCTGGCCTGGACATCTTGGATGTGTTCCTCAGGCGATGAAGGCGCATCCGTAGGGCAACCAAACAGGCAGTCACAAGGCAGATGAAGGTCTCGACCGAAGAGCTTCTGGGATGGAGAATAGCTGGTAGTCTTGCGTTTCTTTTCGACCCTAGTATGATTTTGGCAGCTTCCCGAACTGGGTCTTTCGGACAAGGCGTCGACATTTCCAGGCGAGGATCCCTGTTGAGGATGGATAGTCGTCATCAGTTGCTGAAAGCAGTTTGTTGTTTTTGAAGTCTAAGGAAAAATTGTATTTCCTTAAAAAGTCCAATCCGAGTATGCATGGATCTGTAATATCCACCACATACGCCGTGTGATGGTAGGCGGCACTTCCAAACGTGATGCTTACGTTTAACTTCCCAGTTATATCGATCTTATCACCAGACGCAGTCTGAAGGGTAACACAGGAGGGCGTCCAAATAAGTTTATCTTTAACCGTTCAGCTAAATCTTTCCTAATGATGGTAACATTAGCTCCTGTGTCAATGATCATATTGCAAGGAACTCCATCGATATGCCCATTGATGGACAGTCCGTTACTGTTGCCACTCCCTCTACAAATCTTGAGTGCTTTAAAACAAGCTTTTTCATTATCTGGCAACATCCATTCCCTGATATGGTCATTAATTTGTTTCCTGCGTCGTTGCTCAGAAATGGTCTCAATGTTCGTACCCTGGGGTGTTCTGCAGTTCTTTCATAGGTGGCCTTCAACACCGCAGTTTACACTTTAGGGTCGGTTTCTTTTCACCACTATTCCGTCTCAAGGTATTCACTGGTCTTGTCAACATATCCGTTTTATTATCCGTGCCCTGGGGTGTTCTGCAATGCCGTCGTAGGTGACCTTCAGAACCACATTTCCAACACCTTCGAGCCACTTTGTTCTTACTGCTATTCTGTATCAAAGCATTGACTTGTCTGCATAAATCATCTAAACGAGCCATCAGTTGATTCACTGGCTCGTGGACTCACATAGCTCTGACTGGGTAGCGGTCTCTATGAGTTGCTTGCTGGGCTGCCTCGAATTTCATGGCGTACAACAGAGCACTTTCCATATCCTTCACATCCTCCATTCGTATAGCTTTCTGTATTTCAGGATCCCGGATGCCGTCGATGAAGTATTGCAGAGACAGGATTTCCCTTGTTTCTGTCGGGCACTCCGAAAAGGCGTGATGTGACAGCCTTTCAACATACGTGGCGAGCTCCTGAAGTGTTTCGGTGAACTTCTGTTGACGGGATTTTAATTAGCTCCTGTGTCATTAGCACTTAACTTGTAGTCTTTTAAACATTTCTCGCCGAAGCTCAGCTCCAAAGCGCCGGATAGAGCTTCGAAATCTAGCCTTTGATTTTCGGGAAGCATCTGCAGGATATCCGCTGCGTCTGCTCTCAGAGAAGCAGTGAGATGACAGGCCTTAGCTTGGGAATCCCATCCATTCGCATCCGCAACGATAGAAAACTGGGTCTTATACACTTGCCAGGATGTCTTACCATCATATGTGGATAGCTTCAGAGATGGACGAGCAGGCATCGGTAAGAATTTAAAATCATAACTCTTGCTCCCTGCCGTTGCTACGAATATCTTTAAAGTTTCCATTTCTTTGGCAACTGCAGAAACTCTCTCATCAATTTGTTTGTTTTGGTGTTAAACGGCACAAACTCTTCCTTCAATTCGTTCCTCCACAGCAGAAACTCTCCCTTCTATTTGTTCTTTGACGGAGGAGACTCTTTCTTCAATTTCTCCAACCTTACTTTCGACCGAGTCTATTCTACCTTTTATAACCTCGAATTTGTTTTCTATTACGCATGTAATTTCTCTTTTCATTTCCTCTTGACCTGCTTTCATCTCGTCTCTAACAGATTTCATCTCGTCTTTAACGGGTTCCTGTCCCACTTCAATCTTTTCCTGTACGGAATTTTGACCAGCATCCATTTTTCTTGGAACGTAGCAAAAGCAGTAATGAGCTGTCTCAATTGTTCTTCCATCCCTCTTGTTATTGGCAGTCAAATCCCACTCCTGACACCAAAAATTGTTGCATGCGTACGGGTTCGTTACGAAATGAATGCACAAGTTCGATGAAAAATGAAGAAAATTTATTATTGTCACAACAAATATGATTAAATGTCCTCAAATAATCATGCAGTATCACAATATCTCACAGTAGTTATCTTTTAAATACTCAAATGTTCAATAGAACTTAATTCAAAACAGGTTATCTTTTAACTACTCAAACGTTCAATAGAACTTAATTCAAAACAGCTAAAGAAAGCTAATCCGCGAATTCACTACAATCAACAAGAGGAGTTTTCTAAACAACAACAAACTAAGCAACTACTACAAACTAAGAGGTTTTCCTCCTTTTATAAGATTTTTAAATCGCGTGCGAGAATTTTCTGGTGCTTTTTCGAAATCAAAAAGACATATTTATTTATTTAACCTTTTCGCGATGGCGCACCTTTGTTTAAAACGCTCGTGCGGGACGGAAGAGAATCGAAGGCAGTCACCGTACAGGATGGAGGTATTGCATCAGTTAAAGCCTAATTTTATAACAAAAATCAGAAAAACAAAAGTTTTCACTTCTAGCATCGTAATTTTGGTATCATTTTAGATTATTACTTGAGCTATTATAATATGTTAATATTAGCCCTTGATAATCTTTTTTTTTCTTTACTTTACATGAAATATACTAAAAAATTTGCTTACTCTTAAAATAATGTTTTTTCGGAAGAGCTATTCAAATTATTCCTAAAGTTTTAATTGATAAAATCCATCAATAAAGTTTAAAATTATTAAAAAGAACACAATAAAGACTATTTACAGTAAGAAGTAACAAAATTTAAAATGAAAACGAGCGTGATAAATTTCGAAGCACAGAGAAGTATCACCTTGTAACTCTTAGAAAAAGTATCACTTTTTAACTCCTTAGAAAATGAATCAGTACTCTCATTTGCACAATCTGAAGGTCAGAATACTAAAACTACGTTCAGTTTAAATGTAATGGACACAGAGTGCCATCTAGTGGCTATAAAAATTGTTTCAGCTTAAAATGCATATCTGCACTGCCCGTTCACTTGGCCAGTTCTCCAGGAGTGCACGGGTGAACCGCCCGGGCCTCACATGTGTCCGTACGAAATGCATATATGATTCGCCCGTCGCGAAGAGGTTAATGTTAAATGCACATGCTCTTGTATTTTTAATTTTCCGGCTTAGCTTTCTTTTAATATTCGTCACGTGCTGCACTGTGCGAGAAATAAAACCATTTAATTTATAATTGAACTAACATTAGCTTTTTAAATACCAAATTCGTAACACTATACACATGATTTGGTGACATTCTGTACCTGATTTTTCGCAACAGAACTGTAAGTAATGATGGTTCTACAATACACGATTTTCTTTAAGTGGATACTGCATTTGTGATTGTTAAATTATTGAAAAATTGTATATAAACTATAAAATAATAGTCTCCGTGTTTGACTCTTGGCATACATACAGTTATGGGAGTATTACAATTTTTATTTTTGTTTATCTGCTAGTTAGAAGTATTTACTTTATCCTATAAGTTCATTTTTATAAGTAATAACTAAAATCTTTATACCTATACTAATTAGATTACAATATAGTGGTAGTTCAATGTATAGTATATCTGAATAATAAATATTATAAGAAGACTTATTCATAATTACACATCCTTTTTTTTATAAAAATAATGGGTAGTTACATAATTGTGTAATTTAAACTTATAAATTCATTAATAGTTACATAATTTACATATCTCTAATTTTGGAAACCTTTGTAGTGTTAATACAATCACTGATTTATTTTTCAAGAATAATTATTTGTTTGTTTGCAGCTAGTGAGAAGCGGTGAATTTCACTTACGCTCCCCGAGTGACTGAAATCAACGTTACACCACTGATCTAAAAGCAAGGCACAAATTAAAAACAACTGAAGCAAATACTTGGAAAATTGAAAATAAAATTTAATTAATACAAAAATAAAACTATGAAGATTGAATATTAAATAAAAAATAAAAGCTTGCAATTCCTCTTTTTTTTTTTTTTTTTTTTTTTTACAAGGAGGATTCAAAAAAATTATTAACACAGCCACATTTCTAAATTTATCTGTATGAACTCCATAAGAAAATTACAGAAATTCTTTTTTTAAATTTAAAGCAATTTGTTTTTCTCTTTCGCAATTTATCCAGATATAGAGAAATGTGGCTCTGTTGATAATTCTTTTGGCTACATTTTGGCAAAGCCAATGAAATGGCAAAGCCAATGAAATTATTATTCATTATTTAATATTTAATTATCGTTATTTTATTTTTTTATTAATTTCCTTTTATGTTCTAAATTTCTGCTTCAAATGTTTTAAATCTGTGTCTTCATTTTAAATACTTTACTGCTCTTGGCTGATATTAATTCTATATCTTTTAAATTGCTCTTAATTAATTCTGCAGCATTTTGTGTCACATTAATAATACTTATTAACTAAATATTCTCAGTTTATAATCTTAATGCATAATCATTCTTATTTATTTTTATATGAAACTGTATTAAGCAGACAACAGATGATACTTACCGTCGCCTCCAGTAACACCATTCCCAGTCATCCTCTTTCCGCCAATCTTCTAATTTTGCATCAAATTTGGTGTATCGATCAAAATCAATATGCTCTATGTCTTCAACAACCTGTAAGAGAAAACAAATAAATTACTTCATATATGTTAAAAAACTTACTTTTATTACTATTCAACGAGAATTTTTGGATAAATTTCCTTCCCTTTATAACTATGGAGTGTACTTTTAACTAGATAGTATATTTAAAACTTAAAAAAAAGAGAGTAAAGAAGAAAAAAAATTTAATTACAGGATAATTAAAAAATATCTATATAAACTGAAAGACAATCCCTCTAAAAAATCCCATCATTAAAAAATACTATTAAAAAAGAATAATTATTTTATTGTGCTTTAGATAACAACATTAATCTTCAGTTTTCATTAATCTCTATTGGTCAAAAGCTTAATAAAGTTCAGTTGTCTTTTATACAAGAATAATCTAAATAAAATGTTCAATTATTTGCTTTTGTTTTAAACAGCTTTGTCAATAAAAGGGGGTAAGAATATACAATACTTATTTCTAAGTATTACAACAATGCTAAAATAATTTAAATAATCACGCTAACTTCCAATATCCAAGCTCTACATCATATCCTTTAAAATTCCAGCATTAAAAATCATATTATTTCCTTAAAACAGAAGGGCACTTTACATCATACTATTATTCCTGGCCTATCTTAGCACAAAATGTGTTAGTACTATACAACAATGCACATAGCATTTGCACAGCAAAATTATTAATAATTGTGAAATGCTTGAAATCATGGATGCCTTTCATCACAAATTAGGATCACAGATTAATTATCTAAGGAGGAAAACCACTCCAAGTGAAGAAAAGTGTCTCAGATTACAAACATTCAAGTCAGCAACAAATGATTTCTGTGTTTTAAAGAAAACTCAGACCCAAATTTATGAATTACTCAAGGACATCTGAGATATCATTTTAATATTTTCTGTTACTTAATTCTCATCAGCAAAGCTTGACATTATGTGACTTACGGCACTATAAATTTTGGCTTGGAGAAATTATGCTGCAGGAAAAGACTTTCGAGAACTTTGAGGTTCCCCTTCCCATAACATTGTGTTTACAGGCAAAGCCATGGGATTGGGAATTAACACTGAAGATGTGTAGAAGTTATTAGAAGACCACAAAAGTGAGTTCAACAAAAAAAAAAAAAAAAAAAAAAACAAGCACAAAAGACAACTGTAGGAAGAAGATGCTTTGATCTGTGAAATTTGCATAAAATACAGTAAGGTACAAAGTTTCATGTCACACTATCCCCTTGATGAAGCAGTAGCAAATTACATGTATTTGTTTTGTATTATGAACTTGTACTTGAGGCAGAGTTGTAAAGTATAAAAAATAATCACCTGGATTGTCCAGGAATCACATTAATGCATTTTACATGAGTTTCTATGGGACAAAAGTTTGTTCATGAATGTTTCAGATGAACTATGTTCATGAACCAAGTTTTTATTGTATTAACTGCAGTTGATCAAAAGTACATATAAAAAATGCATTTATAACCATTTCAAGATCTCTCTGAAAAATTTCATTGAAAATAATCTGAAAAATAATATTTTATTGAAAATTTGAGGTTAAAAGATATCAGTTCTAAAATTACATTTAATACTATCATACTATTGGTTGTTATATTTTATGCTTATATTTGTTCCTTGTGTTGCAATTATAGGATTTAAAATCAACAGAGGGTGGAACAAGAAATTAATATTAAAAGTTGACAGTGGAATCATTAAAATGTGTGTTGTTACTGTATGCTAATTTCACCTAAATACTTTTTCCAGTGTTTCATAAAGAGAGAGAAATACTTATTTACCAAGATGCATGTAAAAGAGTTAATAAATAAAGTTCATAATCACATATAAAATTTATAAAGGAAACGTCCAAAGAATTAAATCTCACCATCCCATTTCTAAAAACAAAATTTTGTTGATTCATGATTAGGGTATACCTCCAACAAAATATCTATTTTCAGGTATTTCTAATTTCCTTAGTCTGATTTCCTAAGTTTTCTCATATAATTTATTAAACTAATTTCACTCTTCAGATAATCAAAAATGTTAATAAAACATACATAAATTTGAATTTGAAAATATACATACAACTTCAATATCACCAAAATTGGTCCAATCGTACACAAGAATTTCAGCATGTTTGCTAAAATATACAAAAAGATATTTAAAAGCTAGTATTCAACACTTACATCAGTACAATACATAAATATTACAACTATGGTTTTAAAAGCTCATCAAAATTTAAAGTTTAAAATCATATTCTAGTCATTAGTTATACTACACATTAGCATTTATAATTACTATGCAGCATTTTAATATATATCATTAAAAGAATTTTTTTGATACTCTCTGATTAACCATTCGACATTTCCAAGATTAAGCAATTCTTTCTTCCCAAATATGCATGTTACCTGTTTGTTGTAAATTTGTAACATGAGCTGCATTCATTTCTGTCCACTGAGGCATGTGACTAGAATGTGAGATGAGTTCACTGATGACCATCAAAAATGTAAGTCAACCAATCTGTCATGCAGAATCGGTAATCATTAGTAACTTTTTTGCCTACCTCAGATGTAAAAAACAGTAGCCATTTAAAAAAAAGGGTGGCATACTGAAAATTACATAATACAGCAACAAATTAAAAAAGCAAGAACCACCCATAATGAAATATTGAAAATTACATAAAACAGCCACAAATTAACTAAATTTAAAAAAAAAAAACAAAAAGCATTCATAATAAAACACCTTTTTGTTTTCCTGCTGTTCACCCATGGACACATTGACCTGTTTTAACTTAAAATAACATCAGAGAATAGCCCAAATTTGGAAAAAGTTATTATTATAATCACACAACAACAGTTGATAAATTACATTCCTACTCATCTTCCATATGGGCATTGACCTGTTTTAGTTTACAAAAAAATTACCAAATTCCACAAATTCGGAAAAAGCTATTACTGCTTAGCATCATAGAACTGAACAAATTCCCAAAAAGCTACTGCTACAATCATCTAAGAACAGTTCATAAGCAGCAGCCATAAAGATCAAAATCGAATTTCAAAAGCTGCATTCCATACTGGCAGTAATGTGAATGTAACCATTCATGGGCTGCCAGATAAATACATTTTTGTAACACTCTGATATGGCTAATTTGGGGATATATGACATTGCCAGTTATTTTTCTCAGAGATGGGCAGCTGATCACTTCATGAACAAATTTTATACGCAGAGCACAGATCTATTCACATATTATCACTTTTTCCTTCATACGTTTTCATTTGTTTTTGCTATCATTAATACTATGATCTTACAATCTAGTTAATACACATTTATTACTACTGCTTACAAAAATTTTACTGAATTTATTATGATATATTAATTTTGGCTTATCTCTTTCTTCAAAAGTAAAATTATTTCGCAAAACAGCTGTACGAAAGAAATGTAAAAATGCACAAAGAGCCATGGATCGCTGAAATACCAGCTTAATGTGCTGACCTCTACACCACGAAGGCACGCTAGAAAGGCGGGAGAAATGCCTTACATACTCTCCCATTTAAAGGGCGACTGGGGTTTTTAGGGGACCCAGTCGCCATTGTTCTCCCCTGTTATATACAACTTCATGAGAAAAGGCTAAATTACTGAGAAAGGACAATATTTTTTTCTCTTTCATTTACATGGAATTAGAAACTTCTGAGTGATAAATGACCATGATGAAATAACATATGTATATATATATATACATACATACATTCTAATAATCTGACAATCTTGAGACCAGGATTATGCCAGTTCGTGACTTTTCTGGATTACTTTATCAGTCTTGTTTACATTTCTGGGACTTATACAGTATCCCGTCAATCATGAAACTATCACCAAGATTTAGCACAATTAGTGATAAAAGTGTAACATGATTAACTTCAGTTGATTCTTGATAAGCCACCTCTTGTTTTTATTACCATGGATATAAATTAAATGCTACTACTGTATTTTTAACTTGCATTTTGATGAGGCGGGAATGATCAAAATTCAAGACCTGCCTTCCACAGAACAGCAAGCAGTGGATTTACTTGTAGTAAAATTGGAGCACCTAACAAAATAATAGAAACTGAAAAAGCTTTTTTATAAAATGCAAAAACAAAGTGGACCAAATATTGATCGTTTATTAAGTGAAAAGGTCTTTATTCTCAAAAGAATTCTGCAGCAACCATTGGTGCAACTTTGGTGGGATTTCCACCAACTTTCATGGTTTCAAGGGTACTCAACTTTGATCAATGGCCTAATGTTTATGTACCACGTTTTCTCCCATTTATATTAAACCTGGACTGTGTTCAGTACAGTAAAAGCCTCCCCCCCCCCATCTTTTTGGAATTCAACTACCCGAAAAGCTCAAGTAACCAGCATATTTTAAAATTTAAAAAAAGTTTCCCGCAGAAAATTTTTGCAAATGAGAGATTTGTAATGTCATTTTAGAGCTTGTAATACTATTAAACCATATACATTTAAGCACTAAATAATGTGATTTAGTGCCAATAATGGATAAGCATAGTATCACATTGCAAGAAATTAATTTTGGTTTAATGGTAATTTTAAAATGTTGTTTAATTTTTTTAAATATAAAATTATGTGTATGCATTTTAATTTTAAATAATCTATACAATTATTTATTTAATTGTGCCCGACAGATCGAGGAACATAACTAATGAACTTAGCATGCTTCAATTTCAACAGCTGACATCACAAAAAATGTATAAGTTAAGTTTGAGAAATATACATTTAGTTATCTGGAATCCATGAAGTCCCACTGCTACTGGTTATGAGAAACTCTACTGTGCTATTTATTTCTCAAGTCTTTCTATTTCAAATAATATTTGGAGGGAAAAAATCCAAATGTCTGAAATGTTGAATAGAAATTTATGTTTCTTTAGTTATAACATTAATATATCTCAACAGATCATATATCATATTTTTAGTTATAACATTAATATATCTATATTATTCAGAAGAAACTGGAATGTATCATACAAATACATTTTCAAGTCTATTATAAAGCTCTTAATTGTGCTATATACCTCAGTTATACCTTCCTTCTACCCTTTCTTTCGGTGAAAAATATTTTACTGAATATAATTTAATTTCTTTACAGTTCTTTTCCTTTAACGCAATTAAATTAGCAATTCTGGGTACTTACTTGCTAACTATCCTGTTCTTTACAGAACAAACAATGCACATAAAAGAAAGGAGGAATGCAAAGGAAGATGCGTATCAATAATTGTTTAATTATAACTATTATTAAAAAATCAATGAATCAAATTTTCAAAATTATTTTGAAAGAATGGAATTATTAAATGATGCCAAATAAAACATTAAAATTGGAAAAATATTTATTTTTGGTGATTAATCTTTTGTCAGTTCAAATATTATCTCAAAAATATCACCTTCGGTTTTTCATATCATATAAATTCTATCCAGCATGATTTCACATGCCTCATAAGTTATGCTTAAATGATATTTTTACAAAGAGCAAATATGAGTCATAAAATATGTTATTTAGAGTTACAAATAGAGACCTCAAGTATTTTTGGAAAGCTAATTAAAATACCATTCTATTTCATGACAAACCTTTGATTGATTATGAAAAACATTTTTACTTACTCCATATCTTTCAAATAAATCTGCTTATAATAATACTCTAGACTTGCGAGATATTCCTTGGTTAAAACCTTTGAGTTCACTTCAGCGGGCTGCAAAAAAATTACAAAACGTCCTAAAAACAAACACGATAAATAACACAGGGATATTTAGTCACAATTAGACAGTCTCTGCTTATCTCAGATAAAACAGAAGAAAGTTCTTTAATATTTCCCAAAATTCCTTTGTTTTACACAGAAATAATCCACTTTATCTTACACAATCTTTTACAATTAAATATAATTTGGTTGTGTTTCTGACATATTCCTTCCTTTCAACTTGGATTCATTTATAAGTTTGCAACTAAACAAATATGTCCATTAAATGTTGATTACTTGATGTATTTTTCATGATTTGGCCATGACCCTTGTTAGTTGGTGTGATGGTTTCATATGTGGGCTGCAGTGCCAAATGTATTGATGTCAAGGATGAAATAAAGGATTGTGTGCATACTGCTCGAATCTGTGTGGAAAAGAATATTTCAAAAAATTTCCTTGAATTAAGATAATAAATCAAAATCATACAAACTAAGATTTGGAGAGTATAAAGGTACTTGCAAAACACATAAAGAATTTTTCAAGCCCACTTTCCGAGAAGGTCAGGAAAGCACATGGCAGTGGGTGTTCTTATGGAGAATAATAAATGATATAGTCAAATGTTATACTGTTGCTTTTACAGGACTTCTACATGTTTTTTTGCAAGAACTGCACAGAGGACATAGCATCTGCAGTTTGCCTAATTATTAAGACCATACCATAACAACAAAAGCAAAATTTAATATTTGTGGGATTCTTAAATGCTTTCAGCAGACAGTAAAGGTGTCACTCACTGGATGAAATTTCAGATGAATTTCAAACCAGCATACCCTTATTTCATATTTAGTGATCCTAATAGCTTCATAATGCCTGAGAAACACAGTGCACTACAATTTCATGCACATAGACCCAGTACACTATAATTTTTTGCATACCATTCACTGTAGAGACAAAGAAGTGGAATTTCACCACTGATCGTACATGAATAGCCTTACTGCAATAACTATGCAGCTCCATCTCAATTTTGACGGAGAGCACCCTCATGATGGAACTGAAGACCTCCTACTATCAAACCACTCCAAAGAACTTGCCTACATTTTAAGTGCCCCCACACTGAACAGATACTAAGAAAAATCCATGCTTTTTCCAGGATTTGAACCCAGGCCCAACAATATGGGAGCAACATCACTAACTATTATACCGAACAGCCTAATCACTGCACAGAAAATCACATATGTCATAACTTATGCATTTAAAATGGTTGCTTACCGTTTATGCTCATCACTCCCATTCATGCTTGAATCAGTTCACCTACACCTTAATTACAGTGTACGCACATTAGCTTCACAGGTGACTACAGGAGGATTATTAAGATCAATGATAAAATGATCCCTAAAGCACTCCTTTGCAGTAAGTTCAATTTTCAATCAGGAATATAGTTATAACTTGAAAAACGAGCATCTCTGTTGTGACTTACCAAAAAAGGAGCGGGGGTGTCTTTTGTGAAATAATCATTGACTAGAAAAATTAATTAATTTATTATATAGTTCATTCAAACTAAAATCATCTTGCTCAAGAACTTTAATCACTTAAAAAAAAAAGAGAGAGAGAAATGAAAAAAAAAAAAAAAAAAAAAAAAAAGAGAGAGAGAGAAAGAGAAAATATATATATTTTTTTTAATTTATTTATTTATTATTTTTTTTTTTTTCTGTAACCTTTCAATAATACTAAATGTCAAAAACGTTTTGCTCATTATAACAAATGATAAACCTCTGGTAAGATGGTATAAACCTTATTTTTAGTTATAACATTATAACTAACCTTTAATGCTACTGTGATACTTACAATAAATATATAGAAATTTTATTTTTCATTTCCTATAACAGTTCTTAAGCAGAAAAATACAAAACTGTCCTGTTACTTGATCATTTTAGGGCATTTGGATTTCTCAAGACAATCATGGTAAAGATTTAAGCTCTGTTCTTTATCTCTGGCATGATTAAATGCGAGTAATGATGAGGATAAGAAAGAATCAGTAAATATTGCTAGGTGTGCTAACTATGGAGCAGAAAGAAAAAAGTCATTCCAGAAACCAATCCCCTTCTGCATATCAACAAAGTGATAACTCTAAAAATAACTTTGGATAACATGAAGCATACATAGACAAGAAATGTAGGAAAAGAAAAAATTAGATGTTATTTCTGTTTCAAACATTATTACATAGAACTGGACACTTTTTTATTAATAATAAATTATTTTAATATACTAATTCTTGGTTATATAATTTATAGGAATAAATTTATTGTAAAATTTATAAAAGTTAGTAATAACATACTTTTTTCCCAGCTTTTAATATTCTTCCATTAAAATTTGTATGCATATATTACATAGAGGAAAAAATTAAACATGCATTTGAATTTTCAACAACTATGTAAATGTATTAAAAGTATACATACATCATTTCTTTTCTTGATTCTTTCTAAGGCAACTTCAGGAGAGATATCAAGATAAATAATAAGATGTGGTCTAAGCAACTCCTCTAATACAGCATTCTTCCTTATATCTAAGTACAACTGTCGAGCTAAAATTGAAATGCTTTCATTGCCTTGCACTTTTTTATTAAATTAAGAAACAAAATCAATTTTTTTGCATTACACAATGCAGTTTTTAGTCTTGTATTACAATTTTAATATTAAATTCCATGCATATTTCCACAGTAATTAGTTAATAATAGTATTAAAGCACTTAATAAAGGCAAATGAATGAATACAGACAAATGCCATCATGAAATAAATTCAGTCGAATGTCTTCATGAAAGATTTTTAAAACAAACTGGACAACATTTACTAGTGGGGGGGGGGAGACCTGATAATTTCCCAACTATCCCATTTCTAGAATCAAACAGGTTCAAATTTACCACTTTCAGTTGCTTAGTCTTTTGGCTTCTAATATCTCCACTGCATTCAAGCTTACTTTTGTGTAAACATAATATTAGAAGTTAATAATAATAAAGGATTGCCTTGGGAAGAAATTAACAGTAATTAGATTTTTCCCCCTTATGAGACTGATCCCATTTTATTTCAGTCATATCAATGGCTAAATGATAAATGAATAAAATTATTAAATGTTGATAGTTCATCTCAAGTTCAATTTCTGTAAAGTGGCTATGTATGTTTTTCCATATCTAATATTAATACAGTTTCCCTTAGAAGGCTTCAAGAAAAATAATTAAATAGCCTATCTATTACCTAATTTGGTATTTGCAAATGAACTGCTACTGGCGACCTTCAGTGATCCCAAGAATGCCAAATTACTTACTTATCAATACATATCTGCAGGGCCATTCCCAGCACAGGTGCAGCACACAAAAGTACGCAGGCAGCCAAAATCAGAGAAGGTCGAACTCTCACAATACCACGCCTAAATATTTTAAATCCATTAATGCTATTATAATTTAGATAGACGTAAAAATTAACATACTCTAAAATACATTGACCTATTAATAATGTAAGGCTACTTCCATCCGATTGTTAGTAGCATTGACCAGATTCCAAAAATGAAGCAGCAGCAATGAACAGCAGACATGGAGTTCAAGAAAGACAGGGTAATTCAAAAAGGGCAAAAAAATTCGCTACCAGCAGAGTACAGTTTACCCATTTCAGTTAAGTTGTTTGTATTTAGTGCCTAGTAGTGTGCGTAATTATTATTCTGTCATCCAGTGTTGAAATAAATATCTGTAGCGCAAAATAAATAAGTCTGAGGTAAATAGTGAGATAAATCTGAATTAATAATAGACATATAAACTAGTAGTAGCAGTAGTAGAAGTGCTTTTGACTTTTACTAAATAATTACTGTTTTACATTTTTGAATGTAACACATTTTCATGACATGCTGAAGAATGAATTCTGCAAAAGATAAGAACGTTGCAATAAAAATGCAAGTACCTAAGTATACAAATTTATAATTAAAGAGCAGTGATTTCTGATTTGATTAGACTGACAATTATGTTTCACAGTTTCCAGTTTCACTACTATATTAAAAACCCCATGTGAAGCAGGGCATTTTCGGATGTAATTACACAATTGCGGAAACTGCATCAAAACTGTACTAAATTATCCAACTATCTTAAAATAACAATAAAAATTTGATATGTTTACTTCAAAGGCAAATTTAATTTCTTGTTTTTGACTTGTTGATTTTACGTTTGTAAAAAAAATAGAAATTACGAAAAATAAATAAATATTTATTTCTTTTTAGTCCAAAGGGGCTTTGTTCCTAAAGAACTATTGTTTTCGTTTTGTGATTTTGTGTTGAATCACTATAAACTGCGAATAGCTTTTCAAACTGTTGCCACCAAATGTTAGAGACCTGCATTATATTTGAAGAAATTAAATAATGAAAAATCTCCATAAATGTATGTACATTTCTCATATTGTGATAAAACAATGGTACATAGAGCCATCGAATTTTGAATAATGTAATCCTCCTACAAATATGGGCATGTGAAAGACCAAATTTGAAATTTGGAATTTGTTTTATTATCGATTTTATATTTTGTAAAACTTTAATGAATCTTTGAGTAACAAATTCAATGATTTAAAAGCGAGCAATAACAACAAGCTAGGGAGGAAAAGCCTTTTTATCTCCAGTGTGTGGAACTGTGTTTCGGAAACTCTAAAGCTATGCTCATTTTAAAATTATTTTGCGACACTGCTATTGAACTGAATTTTATGGTTTAAGTGCAAAGAACATGATATTTAATAAATAAAGGTAACACATAAAACGTTAAAAAAACACCCCTTATGGACGTAATTTAAAATCTGAAACTTTCAGATTTTTTTTTTCTTATCAAATCAAAACTTACTATTTTATTGGTTTTGATGTCAAATGTAACTTTTTTTACTTTTTGTACAATTTGTCATATCTGTAGCAAATAGTTTATCCAACAGATGGCAGTATCTGCCAGGCTCCTTTGGTAATTGTCAATGTGCATGCACTACCTGAGTGTAGAAGAAAGTATGTTTTAGAGAAGGAGCGTTTGTTAAGCATGTTGCTGTGCGCTTTCACTGGGTAAATAAAAGTATATTTTTGTAACACGGATGTTCGTTACTCTCTCATGCGAAGCACTAGGTTAGTGCACGAATCTCAACTGATTCAAAATCCATTTTCAAAACGTGGATCACCACGATATATAAGTACTTAGGGAATGTGACATATAATTTTATTAATCATGGAGCATTATTTTTTAATTTTGGGAGAGTGAGTATGAAATAAATATTTTATTAATCATTGAGAAGTTTTTTTTTTTTTTTTTTTTTTTTTTAATTTTTGGGAGACAGCAATCTTAGGAAAGTACGCAGGCAGCCAATGGCATAGGAACAGACAGCCCTGTATCTCCCCCTTCCTTTTGCAATCCTTATTATATTCTTTTAATATATTCAATGTTGTTTTATTAGATTTCATGTATTTTATTTTTCCAGATGTTCTGCAACTGTTATTTTCTTATATTTGTGAAATAATGAAACATAAAATACCCACCTTTTTCAGAATCATGAAATACTGTATTAGCACATTTTCTTTCCCATACAGTGAAATTATATAACGCTAAGTGAAAACTATTCCCAGATGATAAAAATAAGAATAAAAAATTCATCTGGGAAAGGAAGCAGCTAACAACTATTAGAATTTGCCAAAAAGAACTGGATATGGCAGATTGAACTGCATAGATTTAAAAAAAAAAAAAAAAAAAAAAAAAAAAAAACTGTCTTTTAGTATTGGTATCAGTAACATTATGGTGCAATATTGTGAATTTTGCAATGTGCCCAGCTCAATAAAAAGGCTCTCCTAAAAGCACTTCATGTGAAATTACAAAAGAATTTCCCAAACGAGAAAATTTAATAAATGTAGAAAGAGAAAACTTTTTCTCCTGTCCTAGGTCTGACAGATCAAGCCAGAATCCAGATGGATTGGAATATGAGTTTCATAATACAGATAAAAATGTATACACTAAATATAATGAACAAATTCAAAAAAGACAGAAACAAGTAGCAGCTTTCTTATAGAAATTCCTGTTGATTTTGTTGAGAAACTTATTAATACTCCCAATATTGAGGTTTTTGTGGAATCCTTGATCGTGCACATACAATCGTGTGTTAATAATGATATGTGGATATTTACTTTGCACTTGCTGGAGTTTGAGCAAGTCATTTTTGATAAGAGTAGTCAAAACTAATGACGCACAGGTAAGGACTGATCGCACAATAGAAACATAAATCAGATGAATCTTTCTTAAATCTAATTTGGAATAATTGCCATTAATTTTATTATAATTGGAAGTTTAAAGAGTTTTGTGGCATTTGTAAAGAAGGACATAACATTTTTTATCCTTCCACTTAAGTTTGCTATGAAAAATGCCACCAAGATACTCGGCTTTGCAAACTTTTGAAATAATTTCATTAAAGAGAATAAGATTTTTCTTGGATAAAATATTCATGTGCTTTTCAAAATAATTAACAAATGAAATTTTGGGCATTGATGAATATTCTCCATTCACCAATCTTCAATCATTGGCATTAACTCTTGAAGTTATCAGATGTCATGATTTAAGTTTGCTGGGTTATAGTATATTTAAGGGTGCCTTTTGGGTTATCGCTAAGATGTTGTTTCATTTATCGCCAAGTTGTTGTTGCATTTATGGTAACCTGAGAAGGTGAATGTTATGAAAACCCTATTATTATGTAATTGGTTGCATGATTGCAGTGAATTTGAATGATGGAAAAAGATTAAGGGCTTCTTGTTTTGGATGTTGGTTACGAAATTCGGTGGTTATTTTGTGAAGGTAGTGTTATCACTGATTTGACTGTGAAGGTAGTGTTACCAGCATAACAGCCCATGAAACAATTTGTGTAATTTATTAGTTTAGGAAAATCCATCACACTGAAGTGGAAGATTGGGCCAGAGATGGAGCCCTGTGGAACTCCAGCCCCGATTTCTGGTAAATCTGATAGCGCTTTTCCAACAGTAATTGTAAATTTCCTATTTGTAAGGAAAGACATAATTAGAAGTGTAATTTCTCAACACAACACATCAGGCATGAGTAAGACAATATTTTGACGAATATGTAAGGAAAATCAACAAGTCTTACTAATTGTTTGGAAATAGAAAGATTTTTTTCAGAAGACAAACTGTTAAGGTCATATAAAAGTCTAAGATATGATTGCATTCTACAAAGAATGATTCTTTCAAAAGTATTTGCTAAGCTGATAATAGGCTGACTGACCTGTAACTATCTGGCCTGGTTATGTTTTTAACAGATTTAGGTTAAAAGGATGCACACACTGATTTTATAACAATACCAAAGCATCTATGAAAATTATACAAATAATTAAATTGATGCTTTTAATAATTATTTTAAAACTATTTATAACAGTATGAATATTGTACATAATAACTTCTAAAATTTACCAAAGTTATTACATACAACGTTATAAAAAATAGTAATAGTGGTCGTGTCCAGTTATAATTTAGTAAGCCAAATATAATTATAAATTTTGCTACTTCCTTCTCAAATGTCCACAGGCAAAAAGATACAGATACTTTTGTCATCATCTTATGCAATTCATTACCATAGTTTATATTTTAATGATAAGAAAAAATAATTATTTACCTGGGCCACTAATATACCCAAATTTGTACATTGTTTCCAGAAATACTATATCACCATATACAGATCTTTCCAACACAACACCTTGTCCTGTAAAAAGTCAATATATAATGTAAATAACAAAAAAGTTTACTAAAATTGCTGTAACATTTAAGCTTCGTACACAAAATTATAAAACAAATAGGTTTTTTTATTATCTCTGGACACTTTTTTTGGCAGTTTTTTTATGACAACAGAGTCCACCCTCATCACCATCTGCATTTCACCAACATTCTCTTAATATGTTCTTTCCAAGAGAAAAGACGTTTTTATTGACCTCTAGAACTTTACCTTTTTTTACTTATCTTGCATTTTTCTTCTTTATCCAGTAAAATGTAAAGAATTTCACATAGAAAATTATGCAATTAATATTTCTTATAATATATTCCTTTCCACAATACCATATTTCCTTTCATATTTTACCACTCAGTGGCAGGTTCTGAAAATTTTTAATATGTTCTTGTAATTTTCCCCTTTTTCAATACTTTTATCAAAGAAAGAGCTCCCATAAATTTTAAAATGGATTCATCCATGTAATGGTTGTGTTCATTATACTACTAAAGACAAACCCTCATAAAAATATTTGCAAAGGTCAGGTTGAACTTTTCCTTTCTAACTGTTCACTTTTATGGCAACCTAATATAAAGAAGTAATCTGTTATAGCAAAGCAAGCACAAACTGATATTCACTCTAAGATTTTTCTGAGTCAGCTGGACATTCACTTTCTTTAATTATTTGAATGATTTGATGGCTGAGGAGTAGCAGTGGCAACAAAGAGAATGAACAAGTTTCAAGTTACAGGGAAATAGAAATGAATATAACTTATTAGATATTGTAATATTAATATAGCAATATATTCTTATTGGAATATAAGTTTCTTCTAAAGGAATAATATTGCAGTAGTGTGCGGACAATACAAAAGGACAAAACAGCTATAATATCCACATTAAAAATTACACCTTACAAAAATCACTATTACTCCATCTATATCACAGTAATAAGTTCGAAATCCAGACTACCAATCAAAAAATAAACAAAATAATATTAAAAAAACCCTTTCCCTGCTAACAAAGTCTAGGAATGGTTAATATAATCTCTACATATAATAAAAGAAAGCGTCTGTGTGTCTTTCGTTCATACTGTGCGTAAGCTAATGGATCCAGGGCTACAAAATTTGGTATATAGGTACATCTAGACAAGAGGCAGTGCACTTCAAAGGGGTTTTTTCAAAATTCGAATCAGGTTTTTTATTTATTTTATCTTTTTGATTTTATTGCATCATTTTGAATAGTTTCATTCTTTTAGAAATGTGGTTTTGGCAACAGTTTTTCATTCAATTGTATACAGGACTGTTGACTATTGAGAATCAGCACTGTTGCCACTTGAAAAAATAAGGGCGATAACTGTGCAGTTTATAAATTTAATGTTTCTCTTGGATACTGGACGTTTGTCGAGAGAAGGCAACAGGGAGTTGGTTAATTAATTTATTAAGATAATTAATATTTGTATTAAGGGATATTGCTTATTTAATTGTAATTTTGTTATATGTAATACTTTTATTTTTTAAAGTCCAAAAGGGCTTTGTCCCTGAAGGACTATTGTTTTCGTTTAGTGATTTTGCGTTGGTTCACAATAAAAGTCCATTTCACTTTTCAAACTATTGCCACCAAATGTTAGAGTCCTGCATTATATTTGAAGAAATCAAATAATGAAAAATCTCCATAAACGTATGTATATTTCTCGCATTGTGAAAGAACAATGGTACATAGAGCCATCGAATTTTGAATGACGTAATCCTACTGCGAATATGGGCGTGTGGAAGCCCAAATTTGAAATTTGATTTATTATAAATTTTAAAGAATTTTTGATTAACAAACTGAAGGATTTCAAAGCAAGCAATGGCAATGCTGTACAGAAAACATTTTTATCTCCAGCGCGCGAGACTGCATATTAGAAATTCTAAAGATATGTTCAATTTAAAACTATTTTGCGATATTGCTCTTGAACTGAATTTTATGGTTTAAGTGCGAAGAACACAATATTTAATAAATAAAGGTAACTGAGAAAATGTTTTTAAAAAATGCCCCTTTGGACGTAATTTAAAATCTGAAACCTTTAAGTTTTTTTTTTCATGAAGTTGTTCTGCAGAGTAAAATTCTGCGCAATTTTTAAATTTAACGTTTGGTGTTTCAGGCATGTTTCCGATTCATTTAAAAGCCAGAAGAAGGCTGACCGCATAGCTGCTAGTATTCAATAAAAGAAAGCTGATTTTGGCATAAATAGGACTTTTTCTCCTAATTAATTGAAATTCTTGCAGTGACACCTAACCTTGATTTAATGATGCTGATAATCTAAAATATGGAAATTTCAGAAATCCAGAATCGCTGAAGTCTCGAACTTTCTTTTTGAATACCGTTATAAGTTCTGCAGACGTTTGTTCAGTTCTCGTCGAACAGGATCCAAAGCTTTAAAAACATTTACATAATAGCAAAAGTATTTTTTATGCTTCAATTCAAATTACTTGACATGGTACCTATGCATTTTCCAGGCAACTACAAAAGTTGGGGAAGATAAAAAATTTATTAAAACTTGCAGCGATTTCCAACAATCACTCTGATGATTAAAAAATATTTCATATTCTTACAATAGCAATAAAAAGCTATGAACTCGGCCCTGAATTAATTTGTTTAAATACGAATACAAGTGACGTTGCATAAATGAGCCCTATTTTTTATTGCATTATTTTGCTGAACCCCAGTTTTTCAGTGTTTTGTGCATGCCTAATTTAGTCAGCTCTACAATTTTGAAAATACTCCACTTTTCGATAGAAAGCAGGTCCCAAATTTTAACCTTTTTTTAATATAAGTGAAAATTTAAAAGTAGCAGCTGATTTATATCCTTTTTTAAAACTAGCTTATTGAAATTGTGATTACATAAAACCAAAAAATCTTACGAATGCATTATAATGTCACACTTATCTATCATTAGTGCTAAATCATATACAGCCAAAAGTCGTTAATCCGGACTCGTCGGGACTTCGGCGATTCCGGATTATAGATCATCAGTTTAAATCTGGCAAGATGGTATGCAGAAATTATAAAATTAAAAATATGAAACCGTAATTTATGAAATAAAGAACAATTATGATCTAAAGGGTATCAAAATTTACAAAAAAAAAAGCTTAATATTTATTTGTTTACTTTATTAAACATTTCTTTCAATGTAAGTTGTTTAAGTTGCTTCGTTTTTTATGTGATAACACTTTCTCTTTAATTCTATAAACAGACATAATTTCTTGTTCAGTTACAAAGTTCTGCTGTATTCCATTGACTTTCTTCCCCCTCAAAAATTGTCAAAGAAAAAATATGTAAATACCAATAAAATTAAATAGCTGATGCCAGAGTTGAAATTTTGCTTATGATTGCTTATGACAGTAGCAAAATGCAGTAAAAAAGGAGAGCTGGTAAAAATAAAAATTACAATTCCACTGTACATTTCATAACAATTTTCATTCTTCAATTTCCGACATTTTATCCTTCACGCTTTTCCTTTTATATTTTAACAATTATACCAACCTGCTAAAAAATCAATCAGGAGAATATTTTCAGCAATAAAAATAATTTTTAGGCAGTAAAAATATACAAAAAACACTTTTTAATAACAAACTATAAATACAATCTAATTAATATCTGAAAATGAAATTACTATATCATAAATACAATTAATACAAAAATACTCACAAATTATAAAATATGGTATTTTTCTGTTAATTGGGCACCACTTAGCATCAAACATAACTGCTGGCATAAATCTAGAGTTTCATGACCCTAACGATAGATAAAGCTAAAAAGAACAAAAAAAATGAACTTGCAGTAATGTATCACAAATATGTGGAATGCTGAAGTTGTACAATTCCTCTGATGCTTTTAAAGTAAAATTAGATTGCTGTATACATGGCAATGTGTACATTAAACACTGCATAGCTATTTATGACACAGCGGCAAATTTTTATTTCTTAAAAAAAAAAAAAAAAAAAAGGCAACATAATTTTCCTCATAGTATGCCTGTTTTTGCTAATAAAAGTTTTTCCAGCATGTCATTATTCATATTGAATCTAAATTTGGTTCTTGTTTTTAATAATAATGCCCAAAATGCTCTCACACTTTGTATTTGAGATAAGAATTATCAAGGTGGCCAATACTATTTTAGAAAGCTCAGTGCTTTAAAATTCATCAGCAGTTGTTCCTATTAGACTTCACTAAATATAAATTCCTGACAGTTCTAAAACTTTAGCCATGCTTTCTGACTTTAAATAGAAAAATTTTGATCACAAATTATCTGTTGCAATACCAACATGTTTGTCTCTGGAAACTAAAAAAACTGAAATCTGTTTAAAAAATATCTCCTGTCAGAAAAATATGCAGCTGCCACAATAGACACACCTGCAACTTTAGCATGTATACAATTATTTCACAGCCAATGAAAATGTTATTATCAGGGCGGTGGAGTCGGAATCGGAGTCAGGTAGATTTTTGGGTAAAAGGAGTCAAGAGTTGGAATCGCTAAAAAACACGTCGACTCCAAATCCAGTTTTCGTTGAACAGTTTGAATTTGAAATGAAATTAAAGTGAATTGAAAAAAAATTAATGACACACTGAGTTAATATTTTTATTTATGGACTATATACATTAATAATTATTTTCTATATTATTGACATATTAGTAAATAAATATAAGGGAGCAGGATGGACATGACATTTGCTATCAGGTTGTCCGGAAAATAATGCAGGTTTTTGCAACTGTTTATCTTTCCTGTACATTTTTAGCAACAAAAGTATTTTGAATTACACTGGTTTATATATCATTTTGAAGCTCTATTTTTGCTCTATATTTTTATAATAATTTTGTTCCAAAATCATCATACATCAAGCGAAACTCTCAGCAATAAAAGCTACCATCAACATTACATCAATAAACAATTTCTCCAATATCCATCAACTCAGACAGCCAAGCAGCCATACTCTCCACCCCAAATCCAGACAATCATTCTCA